CAGGGCATGCCTTAAAATGGGAAACCAAACCTTCTGTTGGCCGCTTGCTTCAAAAAAAGGGCCTTGGTGAGGAAAACCCTGTCGTCATTTTGCCGTCCAGGTCTTGTGCCCAAGGTCTGCCCTTTGAGACTGCACGGCCAAAACGGGCCATGAGCACTCTGCGAACAGGTCCTTCTGGCATCTTCGCAGCTGTCTCTGAATATCTGACTAGGCCGCGAAACGAATCACACAAGTTGCACCTCGAGCGTCACATCCGGACAACCGCCCTTGCTTTCATCTGCGCTTGCCAGGGCATCCTCAAAGATCTTGGCCTCAGGTGACAGCCTCCCAGGACTGCAACACCCACCGTCAACCTCTGCCCAATTGGGAAGAAAGGGGTGCAAGAGAAAGAAAAGCATGCCTGCAACCGTCCCAAAGCCAAGACACAGATCGCAAGAAGGGCGCATGGCCAAACTCCATCTTGCAAACCTCAACAGGCCAAAGGTTCGGCACTGCACACGACTGGAGGGCGTAGCCGAATCTTTCAGCTCAAGCGGCTATTTGGTAATTAATTGGTTGCTTGGCTGGTGAAAGCAGGCGACAAATGTATGCTTGGAAGTTATGAGGCCAAAAACAGCAAGGTACATTACCCATACGCGTCAGGAGCGTTCTCACATAATGAGAAGAAGGAACATCTGATCAACCCCCAAGCCGCCTCAAGGAGCTTGCGCTGGGTCATTACCTGGGCAGGCTGCAACAATTGAGGCAAACTACCTCAGCCACATCCACTCCCATGAATGGGCCCACTTGGACCTGTTTCGGTATGCCACCGCATATGCCAGGCACAGGTAGCTTGTCAATCCCACAATAGGTGGCCAATGGCAAGCAAAGGAGAGAGGTTTTCCAGAACAAGCTATCTTCTGCAAATGCAACCTTGCTGACTCGAGCTGCTGAGACTGGAAGCAGTGGGGGCCCGCCAGTCAACATTCAGCCAGAAACGGGATTTGATGAATGGCGTTCAGGCTAGGCCACAAGGCGTAAACACACCGACTCCAGAAGCCTGAAAGCACCACCTTCAGGGGAACGAATGAAACACGCAAGCTTGGCCCATCATTTGAGCCATGTCCAACAGTTGCTCTCTTGTACATAGTCTTTCTTGAGCGACGTGCAACAAGACGCAGCACCAACAAAAACACACTGGCCCATCATGTCTCATGTTTCAATCAGCTCAGCCCATGCGAAGGGTGTACCCAAACGAGCAAGCGAGCGCACTGCCCGTCCGAGGCGCGCAGCTTGCACTCACCGTGCGCAGCGGCCGGGGGTTTGCCCAGGAGCATCTTCCTCCAGGTGTCTCTCCCGGAGGGTAAAGGCCAGCAGCCGGGAAGCCTGATGTAAATTCTCCCTTCTGCGGGGCCCCGGAGTCGTTCTAAGACGAGAACGATGATGTGTACAAAGGCACATCAAAGAAAAGCACCCCAGGGGCAGGGTCAATACTTTGCAATACTTGCAATCAGAGGTGCACGTTCCGGTTTCTAAGTCCATGCCATTCAGGCTGGGAATGTATTGAAAAGTTGAGTCAAGGCTTTGATGGAGTGACTGGCTTGATCTGGCGACTTTCTTCCGGGTGTGAAAGAACTGTGGGAGCCTTTCAGAATGGGCGTGCTTCACTTAGCAAAGAATCGCTTTTGGCAGTCCATAAGGTAATGTAAGCTTTCAGTTTGATTTTCCTGGACATTGCAGCCTTGCAGGTTTGCCATCTGGGCTTATGGTGAACGAATGAATGCGTTCGCCTGTCCCAGAAACAGGCGCTAGAGTCAGCATCTAATCAGTTTCCAAAAGATTCTGAACAGCAGCAAGCACCGTTGACTCTAACAATACCTCCAGGGGTAGACCCACATTTCCATCGGAGAGTGATTTTGGGCATCTTGCGGGGCATGCGGCATCCTTTCACACCGGCTCGTTAGACCAGGACGCTGTATTGATTGCCCACATCCACGTTGTCGTAGCACCTCGGGCACTACGTGAACCAAATCCGAGGGCGTCCTGCATGGCGATGTAAACAAGCCGAGCGACACGTGGCAGAATGTTGAAAACGTGTTCGTGACTGTAGCAAAGTACATGAGAGTCAGTAATAGGACGGTTGGCACATCCAACGTCCACCACACAGTGGCCACTTTCTGCAGTTTATGCAACCTCAGGGAGTTGTATTATCTCATGTCTCTGGGTTGGCAGTGGTGAGCCATAGTCTTCTGACTTCTTCGAACCTATGCCAGTCACCGCAGCGAGAAACGCCTTTCAGAACTTGCAGCCCCAGCCATTTTCTCGGGAGTCTGCAGAGCTGAGCACCTTCAGGGTTCAAGAAGAACTTTTTGTGGTGACCTGGCTTCCTTCTTGGTGCACCTTCGAACCTGCTAGCTGTCCGGCCCCCCCCCGAACCCCCTCCTTGCAGCTCCAAGCACTGGCCGTTCCAAGGCCCGGGGGATTGCGCCTGAGAGGCACGGCGGCCCACTTGATGCAGCATAGAGCCAGCCCCCATGCAGTTGTTGCTGGTGCCGTTGTAGTTGCACAGGGCGTACCTGATTGCAACTTGTTGGCCTCTTTGGAGCGCTGCAGCTGCTTTGCTGGTTGGGGTGCAACCTGGCCTCTGCGTGCCAGACTACATTTTGTCAAACTGGTCGACCTGTCCTTTCCTCATTTCATTCTTGGCCGCCATGCATGAAACTCTTAGCTGCTTGCTGAGTGAGTGGTGTTCTTCTTTTGCGCTCTCCAAGTCATGTTCAGAAAATTCATGCACGCGGTTCTGGGATCAAGCGGCTCTCTGATGCTCTACTTCCGCCGCCTCATTGGTGACAAGCCAGAACCGTTTGAGGCCCGCACTGCGCAAAAGCCGTGCTCACCTCGGATGCTCTATGCCACGCTGCAAGAGTGGCAGGGAGCACTATTGGGTCCCATGAGGCAGCAGGCCATAAGCATTTAAACATGTATAGACCTTTAATTTTGACAACCTTAGCTGCATTCATCTGCAGCCATGACCCTCTTTTATTATCTCGGCCACTGTACATGGGCACTTTACATGGACCACATCCCTCCCCACAGGACAGACTATATGAGAGAACCCCGCAGTCACCACCTGGATTGCAGCTTGGAGGCGTCAACCTGCCAGTGCGTAATGAACTTGGACTCGTACGATGCACCTGAACCTTGCGTGCCTGAGCGAGACGGCCGGTGCATGAAGTGCAAAGCAATGCCAGTCCATCACCCTGTTGACACTCTGCAAGAGCCCTTTGCAAACCGCAGTGCTCCCTCCACACATATGCAGTGCGACCATAACATTCTGATGCGGCCTATGTCAGACCCGCCCAGCCCAGACGGCCCCGACTCAAAACCTCCGGCAAATTTGCCAAGCCGCACACGAAGGACACGTCCCCCAGCACGTCGCCGGTGTCTCGGTTCTGCAGCTCCAAAGGCTCGCCCTTACCGAAGATGCGGTAAATGTCCAGCGTTTGGACCTCCGAGCCCAAGGCGCGGCAGAGTGGTCGAAGCGCGCACGCCGTGTACAACAAGCATGGGCCAGCCTCAGCACAGAATCACATATGACAACTAAACATCAGCCAAACGGCATACAACCATCGCATACTGTAGTGCCATCATGCGGAAGCAAAGCGGGCTTTGCAAGTGTGATGAGCTGTAAATCCCCCCAACAAAACAAAAAAACAAAAGAGCAGAGCGACATCCAGGGATGCTAGTGATTAAGCCTTCCGAATGCCAGTGTTTCTGGCTTGCTGCGTATCTGACTTGCTGATGAGATGAAGCTAGGGTCTGACCAAACTCGATAGAACCAGGGGGGAGCTCAAAGGGAGACACGACTTCAGTCTAGCAGAGAAGGCCGAAATGCACCGCAACAGGGCGAGTTGAAGAGAATTCAACCACCCAACAAATAGAACAAATGAATGTGTCGGGCACATACGATGGACAAAGGGCATTGTGCCTGATTTTCTGCTTGCATCCAGCCACCCCCTGGCTCGGGCAAAGCGAGTGTGGGTACTGCTTCGCGCAAGCATAGGAACTCTGGAAGGCTGTCTCGCCTGGATCGCCTCAGGCCAGTCACCACAAACTGAGCGCAGAGTGTTTCCCTTGAACCAAAATGAAGCGAAAGGTCGACTAGGACCAAAATGAGAAACATGGTACAAGCACAATCTATTTGAGATGGCGGCTGTGCTTGCCAGGGGCAAGCAGCAAGATGCACTTTGGAGGTGCTACATCGGCACTGAAAAAACAAAAGTCGTCACAGAGAAAGGCCAGGGGTTCAGCCACAGCCCTCATTGCGGGAGCGCGCACTTAGGCTCTAACATCTGGTTGATTTTATGACGATCCTTCACTTTCATGCCTCCAAGGCACCCACAGAAATGTTCAAAAAGCGATAGGTCTGCGTGCCGCTGAATTTGCCAGCTGGTATACGTTGACTCACCTCCAGCACCGTGCCGTTGCTGACCACACAGGCAGTCATGATTATCGTGTCATTGTCGCCCAGCACCGGTCCAGCATACCTAGGTGCCCAACGCAAGTATGCAGCCACGTGCAAAACAGAATTGCCACGAGTGGAATGGCGAAGCAGGAGCCTGACATCCCTTTTCCCAACTAAAGAGCTTTAGAGTTTTCCATTGCCCACCTAACAGCCCAACGAGTTGTAACAAAGATCCCCGTCAACCATCAGTGACTGCCCGTCTATGACTCTGGCAGCGTCACATGCTTCAGCATGCTGCGCCGGGGTCTTGTTCCGACAATGCGAGACCGGGCAAAACCTTCTCTGATTGCTGCTGCAGCTGTTGTGTTTGCTCTTCACGATGCTTTTTTTTTCTGTTGGTTGATGTTGGACTGCATGCTGCGATTGTTGCTGCTGTCGATTTATGTCGATTTTGTCGCAAATGAGGAGAAAGAACAAGTCAGAGCATAAACTACCGTTTACAATTAAACCAGATCACAGAAAGTGGACCAGAGGCAAGGTTGCGATAGCCCATCGTGCAGTGATGTGCAGTGCATGATTGCCAGGCCTGCTAAGGGCAAGTCTCTGAAGAATGAACAAAACAAACGTGGAAAGCGATGAGAAGGCTCAGAAAATATTGAATCACACTGCAAACCCCATTTGACTTGTTATATTGAGCGGTCAGAAAGAAAACGTCATGCTCTCTCAGTGCTTGCTTCAAACAACAATTGTCATACCTTGCAATCTTGCACGCCTGTGCCAAGGAAAGCGCGGAGCTTTGTTGGACGAGGGGCGAACAGCTCAAAAATTGGAGGGAGTCCAAGGCCCTAGAAACGATGCAAATGATGCAAACATTGAAAAGATTAAACTCATGATCCTGAAACTAAAGGCGCTAAGATTAAAGATTCTGGGCGTCTTTGAAAGGTGCAAACAGCTCAAGCTCCAAGGCGCTCAGCCCTGTGCACACTGCAGGGCGTGTCATGGATGACCTTCTCCCCAATCGGCTTTGCAAGCGCCATCCAAGCGAAGAAGTCCTGGCCACACCGCCAGCGACTACGCAATATGATATTCCGTGACACTATTATATAAGATGTTTATGATTTGTTCAAATAGAAAAAGGACCTATTTGCTACCCCCAAAACCTTTCAAATAACAGAACAGAAACTGCAATTGCAACTAGTACATCCAAGCCACATGTTGGACTCGAACATGCTCATTGTCTTCTATTTGAATCGCACCATGCGTTCCCCCGGCGAATGTAAAAACCACGTGTTGTGAAGGTTTGTACAATGTTGAAATATTTCTATTCAAGTGGGGTGCGTCAAGGTAAGTCGATTCGCAAGAGGGCTGGATCTTCGTGAGAGGCTTCGCGACCTTCGCGAGCCTTCACGCCACACAATGTGTCACACAAGTGCCCTCTCGGACCTCTTGGGAGTTTCAAAGCTAAAACCCTCCATCCGAAAAAACAAAAAATCAAATAACACTGCTCAGGTGGTCCACATGGCCAGCCATGCCGCCCGACCCAAAGCTCTGAATGTCCCACCGCGTACTTGCGGCCCATGGTGTCGCAGGTGCCATTGACGCCAAAGCCGCCCCAGGTTCGATTATCCTCAGGCAAGCGTATAGGAAACTGGTGAAAGTGCTGCGTCCTTCCGCGTGATCAATGCTACAAGTATATACTTCTCTTCAACACGCCTGATAAAAACAGTGATGCCCAAATGCAACAAGATGCCTTGCAATGTCTCATGTCGCCACGAGGCTGTGCTTGGCACGTTGGCCACGAGCTGGGGCGAAACAATTGCGAAGTAGCAGAGTAGTTCAGCCGGTACCTGCAACGCTGGAACCCAGGACGCCGCATCAAACCAATGCGAGCACGGCACCACTGCACCTGTGGTCATGTCCACGTCTGCCTTCAACAGTGCAAAGGGTCATCACTGGGGGCTGCCTTCACTCGGGACCTTTGCCTGGGCTTATGAAGGGCATGAAATGGCCTGAGGCCTTGGATGCCTTCGGCTGGCTTTATGAGGGGTTCAACTATGACGCACCTTTTGCGCCTCAAAGCACTTGCAGGAAACTAGATGAAATTAGTTATTCAACAACTGTCAAGCAGCTGCCGGCACGAACTGCAAACGTAGCCCCATCCGAGCCATTCTGGCCGGTTGGCCGGCCTCTCTCCGAGCCTGTCGTAGTGGAACACGCCCATGCCATCCTGATGGAACCGATTGAACCCAGGCCCCCAGCTCCCAGATCCTCACGCTTCATACGCTTCCTTCTCTCCCTGAACCGCTCAACTCTGCCCGGCTCACATAAGCTTCTGGCCCTGGGAAACTGAGAGAGGCGCGGAGTCGCTTCATCCAAGCTTTGATTCCACCACAATTCATCAGACATGCTGCTTCCACAGGTGTAGCATAGGCAACAAATTAAACAAGAGCAATTGCAACACATCAACTGATTGATGGCCTTGGCTTGTCTGACAGCAATTCAAAGGATCCCGAATGCTGCTTTTGTTTCTACGTAGCTAAACGCGTCGATGAGAAGCAGCTAGAAGGAAAGCATGCGCAGGACACGGCTCAATATTCAGCATGAACGACTGAAATGGGGTTAGCAGCACGTCGCTTGAGTTCAGACCCTCAACCTGTTTCGGCGTGGCGTGAGTTGCAAATGCATGATTGTGCGCTGGTCTACACATATCAGCTGGCAGCTTGGTTTGAAGTTGAACATGCACAGTTGCCCTGATGAGGCCGTAGTTTCAGAACTGACTCTTCGCAACACAGAGGGGTCGAATGTGGCGTTGGGTGGGCCATAGCTTCAAACCAAGTGGGCCACAATATGCGCCTTGGTCCACATCATCAAGGAACAAGCTCTTCCCACTCCAGTCCAGTCACGCTTCTTTTCTGGGCTGTTCAAAAAATCAACATAGGTCAACTTTGTCCAGGGGCCTTCAGCCCAAGCTCGATGTTCATGCTGAAGGACTGGGGATGCTAGACGCCTGTCCTTCCACTGAGTACCCAACGACTTGCCCTCGAACAGCACAGTGGCGGACCACTGCGGCTGCAGGTAAGGTGGCGTAGAGAACCTTCGGGGACACAGCTGCTGCAACTACCGACTCACAGATTCCAAGACCGATCCGTACAATAGTGTCCAAACTATAGTGATACCTAATGACACATATCTGATGTAAAGATCTTGTGCCGACAATCGGAAAAGTGTCGCGAGCCTTGTGTGTGTGTGCGCGTTTGCAATGTGAAAACATGTGGCCTGGTGAGGAAGACCAGTCAGAGAGACGGCAAGCTGCCTTTGAGCAAGATAGGCGCCCTGAAAAGCTGCAGCCAAGCGGCGGCTGGTTGACCTCAACCTGTCAGCGATGTTTGCCAGCATGCCACACCATCAACCCTCCCGGCAGGTGTGTGGTCGAGATGCATGAATGTTCACCTGCAAACGGTCGGCCCGGGAAGCCGTAGTTGGGTGGTCACTTTGACGGACACCCCAAGCACATCATGGCCCATCCCTGTCCCCACCTGGCTCCCCAAGTACGGCAGCGGGCCCGACAAAGAGCTCAAGTCCAGTGCAGAAGCGACCTTTGGGAATTGCAGGAGTGCAGCCTCATTGCACTGAATCCTCTAACCCAAAGCAAGAACAGCCAAGACCTTCGAACTAAAGAGTAAATGAAACGGTTTGGCTTGGCCTTTGATGCGTCCAAGCTCATGAAATTGAACTTGGGCGGATGGCCAAGGCCACAACCCAAGCTACGGAATGCTTGCCACGGCAATCAGCCGCCTAAGCCTCAGGACCAGGCAGCCCAGAACAGCAGCCAGCCAAAGCAGACCATCAGGCAAAGGCTGCTAGCTGACCTCCCACTGAGAGATCCAAAAGCTGCGAAGCAAAAACCCAGATCAATGAGTCCCAAATTCTTGAAAAGTGCAAGTTGCCCCCAAGAACACCTTATTTCCCTGGCTGACGTGCCTACAACGTACATTGTCACCAGAGTGGCCGCAGGCGCTAGGTACCATGCCGGCTTAATTTGAGCCTGCAGGTAAAAGGTCCGGCTCTGAGCCTACCCTCTACACGCTGGCATAATTATTTTTGACTTGACACTGTCCTAGCAATTTGCTTTCCGGGCGTTGGCGAATTTATGCCAATTTGTGTTGGCATGCGACTTCGGTCAAGAGGCGTTGTAATGCAAGATGCCCTGCACTGGGAAATTTATCTTGGACTTTTGGTGGGAAAGTCAGGTAAGGTAAGAATTCAAAACCGAGAACGAATCGGAGCCAGGTCCATGTTGAAGGTGGCCAGCATGAGCAGCAACCGTCTGGAACTGTCGGACCTGCGGAAGTGACGGACAGGAATGCCAAAATAAGCCAAGTGCGAATGAGTTGGCTTTTGAAGAGCTCTTGACAACACGGTAATGGCCCAAAAGATGAGTGTCAGCGGGAAGCCAATAATGGACACTGCAAACACATGAACGCAACACTGCAAAACATGAAGGCAACACTGCAAAACATGAAAGGGGAAGACAGCATGCAAAGGCACAACAAAACAAATCCGGTATGTTAGCTTCAAACAAAAGCAGACAGACAATGCCCTCAAAGGACATGTCTGTGCGTGAAACCTTCAGCAATCCTTCAGAAAAAGCACACACAATGCAAAAATAAGTGCAAAGATGCTGCACCCAGCATGTTGCAAGCCCACCGCGCACGCAGCCCGCCCGCCCGCGCGCCCGCCCGCCCACCCACACCCCCACCCAAACACCCAAACACCCAACCAAACACAAGCACGCACACACACACAGACGCACACAGACACACAGACACACACAGACACACAGACACACAGACACACACAGACACACACAGACACACACAGACACACAGAGACACACACAGACACACACACACACACAGACACACACACACACACACACAAACACACACACACACACACACACACAGACACACAGACACACACACACACACACACACACACCCGCGAGCGCGCGAGGCTCGCCCGCCCGCGCGCGGCCGCGCATGCGCAGTTCCTGATTAAGCGCCAAGCAAACAGCTTGATAGTGCAGCTACCCAGCCCCCAGCTCCGCGCCCTCTCTCGCAGTACTTGGCACATCTCTCGGCGAGGTCTTCGCAGCTGTGGCCTCATTTGTCACGACATGACCAGGCCTCACAAAAACTTGAACCCCACCACATGCAAATAACATGTCCTTCCTTAGCATGAGCAGGTCAAACCAGAATGAGGACCAAACGCAACATAGAGTTGCCCAGAAAGGGCTCTGCGTAAGGTGATGAGCGCTGCTTGGCCATGAGCGAGTGCGAGTACCAACGATCGAGGCATTGTCACCTGCTCTGCCGCTTTTGCGAATTGGTCAGCACATGACTCGAAACTCGAACCACCAGAAACAACAACATATATTGCTTATGCCTCGTTTAATGAAAAGTACCACCAGTCTTTCCGACTCAGCCAACTTTATCCGAACTTTTATCCAAGAGCCTGACTCCACGGGTACACACCGTGGCAGAGGGCGAAGACGAACTTGGTGCCAAGACCAGCAAGCAACCGTGCAACATTGCATAGTATGCTTCGGCTACCTCCAGCTAGCTTGCTAGAGGCCAAGCCAAGTTTGCCAAGCGGCCCTTTCGGTCTCAGCTGCCCCATTGTTTGTTGCATTCGTGACTGATTGGCAAATGGCCAAAGCAGCCAACCCCAGCGTCTCAGCCAGTAGTGGAAGCCAACTCGCTTCACGCAATGAAAAAGAGGGAAAACGAAGGCTGCAATTGGGATTTCTAGACACCAGTTATCACCAGTCGCTAAGGATTGTTGAATGCCGGGGCCCAGACCCACACGGTGATGATCACAAAGTACAGAGGCATCTTGCAAGCAGGTTCAGCTGCCAAAAGCAAGGGAAGATGCAAATGCTTCCAAGACAGCATGGCGCTTTCCATCTGACAATGGCGAACAAACAACGCGCAAAAGAAAGCCATGCAATGCTCGCCAAACAACCCACTCATTTCCCCTTCACCATCTTCACTGTCAGATTCTATATGCACAATGGTTGAACACGCTAGACTCAATGCCCGACAATCTGAGAACTTCGTTCATGCATTCCAAACAACGGAGCTATCAGCCTGGAACATGTGTTTTTCCATACATCCCCACTGTTGGCGCCAAAGTTCCTAAGCCCGCAAAACATTCAAGGCCAAGGCAGAGGGGCGGTTCAAGCAAAGCACCACGGCGATAGACTCCACCTCGGCCACCCACGTTCATGCACGTGGTACGCACGTGGTAACCCGAATCCAGTTGACAAGCAATGCTTGCAGACGCTGCCGGTGCGCTTTCTGTTGCAATGTACTGCACCCGCGCTTTGGCTGTATGATACCGAGTCTCAACGGCTCCCTGCACAGAACCAGGGCAGAGGCAATCAAGAAAATGATATCGTACCTCAGGTTTCGCTTGGGTACGAGAGCAATGATGGAGGCTACCACACGAGCAGAACAAAGAACAACAAATAGACAATTGATACATCACAAGATGCAAAAAACAACTGCAAAGCCAGCCGGCAGTTGCCTGTCTGGTGACAGGAGTGAGGGCCAGCTTTGTGTTTTCCCTTGCCAAGGTGCTCGAAAGCCGTTGATCTGGAGCCCCCACGAAGAAGCATGAAGGACCTAGCGAACAACGAGGCCCACGCGAAGACAGTTGACCATAGGAGAACCAAGGGCTTGGGAACAATTGATGGGCAATGGGCATAGCAGGCTTCGCTCATCAGAAGCAAAAACAAGAGTGGTCCGCAAGCAGGTGATGTGTGTGTGTGTGCGTGTGTGCGTGTGTGCGTGGTGTGCGTGCGCGTGCGCG